TATATATATAGTTTATGAAAAACTAGGTGATCCGTATGAGTAAACCTAAGGAGGATAAAATCCAGAGAGCTCAATGTAAATCCAGAGCAAATAATTTAAATAAAAACAGACCACTTTTATGGTTCCATTGAACCTTAAAGAGGTCTGTTTTTATTTAATATATATATATATATATATATATATATATATATATATATATATGTTTTTGAACAATAAAAATATTAAAAAATTAAAATTTTCAGACACACTGTGTTGTATATTAATATTTTTTTTTTATTATTTCAATTAGGTTTCTTAACTAGTTTCAGCTAGCATGACCATCATCAGGAGAATAAAAACCTTTGCTTGTTAGTAGCAGTAAACTACAGGAGTGAATGACTGTTTCTGAAGAAAGTGAACTTTATCTGTAGTTTTGTCATTAATTTTGGTCAGTCCTTGTGTTGGTCAAACCACCACTTTCAAGTTGTTTTTAAGATAGAAGATGGGAGATTCCTGACATTAACTATTCTCTCCTTGGTCATTTTGACAGTTTTTTTGGTTGCTGTGTCTATACACACACACATATGTATGTATATATATATATATATATATATATATATATATATATATATATATATGCACACACATATATATATCTTAGTGATATCTATTTAAAAGTGGTAATTTGGTAATTTGGTTGCTTTTATGTCTATAATGAATGTTCTTAATAGTTTGCATAATTTTACTCGACTTATATTCAGAACACTGCTTCTTCAAATATTCTTTTGCAAGTTAATCCATCTTTCTTGCTTATTATTCATTTCATTTTTCTCAAATCTCTTTTTGTGAAATTCTTAAGTTTTTCTTGTTCTCATCTTTCCAATATTTTCAATTTATTTTTGATTGTTCTCTGATCTTTATCCAAGTTTTTTCACAATTTTCAACATCATGGTCCCATCACTCAATAACTTTGGAATACCTTGTTTCTATTTTAAGATTATATCTTTCTTTTGATCCATGACAATATATATATATATACTGTAACCTAGGGAAGGTTATTGAATAGAATAATCACACAATGGTTGGTAATGAACGATAATACTTAGGACAAGGACAACACATATAAGATTCCCCAGTGGCATGTAGAAGAAGTAGTCAATTGCTAGAAGTGAATCAAGTGAATTCCACAATGAATCTCTAACTGCAGACCAACATATAGTATTTACTACTGTATTTGTGTGAATGGGGACATACCCATATGTTCTACAACAATATACAAAATCAAAATAATTATTTGACTGTCATATTTATTTACACTATGATGAAGAAATGTTGAGCATAATGAAATCTTACAGCAGTAAATATATTTTTGTAAATATTTCTAATGAAAAACAGATAATATATTCATATAAATCTTAATGTAGACTGAAAATTCATATAATATATATAAATATTTGTATTTCAAACCCATGTAGGAGGGAGAGTATGAAACTTTATCTTTCTTCAAACTTCCTTTTATCTTGAACTTATATCCGATTGCAAACATTTGTACTAAAGATACAGCCTTGTGCGAATTAACTGAACAACCACTTTAGTTCCCTTTCTTTCACCATACGGTCAGTTTTAGACCCACTGGAGTGACAGGGTGTAATTGATTTCTACTTTTTATTAGATGAGGTCATTTGCAGTGGTGCACAGTAATATGAATCTATTTTCATTGTGTTTGATGAAATTTGTTTGGCCTTGAAAAATATTGCATTGTCTGTGATTGTATCAGATTTTTATCATGCACAGACACTATTGTCTCAACTGTTGATTATTTGTCCTATGACAATTGTCTGCAATGGACATTACTCCAAGGAAGAGTGCAAAAATTGTAACACTGCATGAACACACTAGCAAGCCTTACCAGTGAGCAAATCAAAGTACTATAGACTGGTGTTATGATAATTTACCCATGCATGTATGGACTCTCCCAGTTATAAATAGGTGCAGGTACTGCCTTTTGGAGAGGGAAGTTTCCAGCAGTCAGCTCTGACAGTCGGACCAAACATCCTGGCTGTAACACTCTCGTTTGTATATGTTCATATTACTGTTTCTGTTAATATATTTGTTTAACTCAATTCCTCTCTTGTGTCTTTATTTCTGACCCTAACAAGGCCACAACAACTCTCCAGATTTAAATCCAATCAAGAATCTGTGGTCAATCTGCAAGGAATGACTTTGTGGAATGAACATACAAAGTACTAACATGTGCACTGGGTTATGTTTCATTGGAAAAATACAAAAAAAAACTAAATTATAATGGAATTATTTGTTTTTTTTTTTTAATTAATTTGCACAAGGGTGTATGTTCCAGTTCATTCTGATGTCAAAAAAAAATTAAAATTCAATATTAAACACTCATGAATATTGCAAGTGAAAACCTAAAATTTTGTTATTTTTTTCAAAACATTTCCTACTCCAAATGTCAACCAAATAAAAAAAATAATATTTTTGTTATCAAATCTCTCTCTCTCTCTCTATCTATCTATCTATATATATATATATATATATATATATATATATATATATATATATTCAGCTGTATGGATATTAGTTTGTAACCTTGAGTTTCATGCTTTTGCAATCACCAGACAAACTGGTTTATTTTTTAAGCATAAATAGATTCACTTTTTTAAAAATAAAACAGTTTCTTGGATCTTTACAAAAGCATGAAACCCAGGGTTACAAACTTATATCCATACAACTGAATATGTTAGATCTATCACAGATATCAAGTACTTTCCTCTAAGTACTGTGTATATATATATATATATATATATATATATATATATATACATACAGAGTTCATCAGTGTAGCTAAACATCTGATTGCTTCAAGCCAGTATTGGAACCTGACCGTTTTGGCATCATTTAGAGATTCTAACACCAAGCTATCATTGTACAGCAGAGCAGAAGGGATATTTTAATGTTTTTACTATGCAAAAGACATCCGTAGCTAGGAGAGCTAGATTTGAGTGTAAGAGCATTGCATTTGCAGCAGTAGCCACCCCTTCCTCTCTGAGAACTCAATCGAATTATTTCAAGAGCATAGTCATTCACAACTGACCGATTTGGCATCAGTCAGAGTTGTGAGAAAATTTTTTAGCTTGAAGGTGAAAAATATACATTAGCTCTTCAACTTCCTCCCTGAATAAATAAATAAATAAGTAAATAATAAATACAAACTTTTCTGCAAAGGAGACAGGCTCCTTGGAAACTTTGAGATTAATATATTCTTACATGCAGGTGACTGAAGACATCATTTTAGGGCTTTTCCTGAGTAACTTTGGTTTTATATAGATGATCCCTGCTGATCTAGGTAATTCCAGACAATGAAGAAACAGCACAATTAGGGATAGAAAAGAACAGAGATATTAGGGATAGAAAAAAAAAGAACTACTAAAGCAGTTGAGAGGAGATGCTTGGAAATATAAAGTTAGAGGGAGAGAGAAAAAGACTGTAAATAAAATAGATACAATGGATTCATATGCAAGATAGTGACATATATTGCTGTGAGCTTCCTTTTGTGATTTAGTATAAGTTGAAATATCTGTTAAGATAATGAACAGAGAAAACGAGGCTTTGCAAGAAGCATCTGATGTATATTTCTCAATTGAACTGAGTACACATGTACCTGGCACTAAAGAGACCAGATGAAACAAAGCTTCATCCCATGCAATGCTGTCTTGACTATCTAATGGAAAAGAAGATATTAATACTTCATTAGTAAGATATAGATTTAGATTGGTGAAAAAGAATGAAATAAAAAAAGAGTTGTTTTTCAGAAATTAGAAAAGAGAAGGAATAAAATATGATAGACTGGTAAGACTCCAGAGGGGAATAAATTAGTTGATGTGATGCACAAGGAATTCCTATTATTGCAGTATGAGTCAAAGCAGCATAACCTAGTTTGGTAAGATAGTCAGGGATAAAAAAGGGTGGACCATGTGGGCAATGCCTGAGGGGGTTTCTGTAATTCCATTCTATGATTTAGTGTAAGTGAAAAATATCTGCAAAAATGTCTGTCTATATTTCTGAGATGAGGTATTATGCACACTATTTACATTATTCGGTCTATTGTCCTCATCTTTGTCACCATATTTATTACAACGTTTCGGCCCTTCAGTATCTGTTTATATTTCTGAGATGAGGTATTATGTACACTATTTACATTATTCGGACTATTGTTCTCATCTTTGTCACCATATTTATTACAACGTTTCGGCTTTTCAGTATTTGTCTATATTTCTGAGATGAGGTATTATGTGCACTATTTACATTATTCAGACTATTGTCCTCATCTTTGTCACCATATTTATTACAACGTTTCAGCCCTTCAGTATCTGTCTATATTTCTGAGATGAAGTATTATGTACATTATTTACATTAGTCGTACTATTGTCCCCAAATTTGTTACCATATTAATCATAACATTTTGGCCGTTGTATGCTCTGGCCTTCTTCAGGTGGTTGAAATGTCGAACTGAACCCTTTATTTCTCTCACTGGGGTAGACTGTTCTAGTTCCAGTGGATGTCAGTTATCAGTTATCTCCAAGATCTCTACTGCCTTAACCAGGTATTGTACTCAAAACTCTTTGGGTCCTGTCACTGGATCTAACCAACGCCTTTATCCATTGTGCCATGTGCCCTTAAAAACATCTGTGTATGAAATTCTGGGACTTATAAGGAGATAACTGATAACTGACATCCATTAAACATGGCACGTGGAACTAGAACAGTCTACCACAGCGAGTTAAAAAAAGGGTTCAGTTTGACATTCCAACCACCTGTAGAAGGCCGGAGAGTACAAGAGCCAAGATGTTGTGATAAATATGGCAACAAAGATGAGGTAAATAGTGTAAATAGTGTATCTGCAAAAATGTTGAGTAGAAAATCATGTACGTGTGTGTATGCATATATCCGATGTGCATAGACATATGCACATCTATAAAAGCATGATTGCAGATGATGCATACAAATCTCAGTTAATGACAAGAGAGAGAGAGAGAGAGAGAGAGAGAGAGAGAGAGAGAGAGAGAGAGAGAGCATTCAAATTCTACTTAGGTCTTATCTTGAACCATGAAGTTTAGTCAGGCTAAAAATTATGTTTCTCTTTCAGTTGCCTTCCTTTCATCTACAACAACATCACTTGGCACAAACAGAGATCAATCTGCCTGAGCTTACATAATTCTATCTATTTTTTCACTTAGACACACACACACACACACACACATTCTTGGTTAACTGTTGCATCCAGTGTCTGTAGCTGTAAAGACAGAACAGATTTGCACAGGAAGTGATGCATGAACGTTTTTTTTAAAGTTGGCAGAGCAGGTCATTGCACTGGGTTGATTGCAGTGATTTTAACTCAAAGCTTGTTTTTACCAGTTATGGAATGAAACATGACAACTGACAGTTCATTTATCAAAGAAGAAGAGGTGAAATTTATCATCAATCTGTCACAGGGGTTTTACCCTAAGTTGGAATCAAGATTGTTCATCTCTTATCCTGCATGTTAACCAAGGTTAGAGACCCCAGTTTTTTTACCCCTACCTGGGTGAAGAAGTGTATTCATATCTCTCCTAATATATATATATATATATATATATATGTATATATATTTGTGTATTTAGGCAGCAATCCTTCTTTCATGCATATTTCATTGAAAACGACAGACAATGTGCTTTTATTTAGTTTTATATATAATTTTTCATGCGATCTAATAATTTTTTCTGTTCAGATGAAAAAATATATAAAAACTGTCTGAATGTTCTTTTTATCTGAGAGCTTTTGGCTATACATTTAGCCATTTTCAAGGATTAAATATTTTAACTGTTAAAATATTTAATGTTTAAATATTCATGAAGACCTACCGGACACTATTCTTAACATACTTGTTGACAACACTAATATAATACCATTATCTACCTGCGAAAAAAGACTAAAAATAATGGAAGCCTTATTAATAAAAACAAAAAAAACAACACTTAATAATATTAACTTTGAACATGGACACAATATCTTGACCGTGTTTTGAAAAATGAAAACATTTTATAAAACATACATACAACAAACTATTTCTTATTTAACAGCTAAAATTTTTAATCCTTGAAAATGGCTAAATGTATAGCTGAAAGCAGTCGAATAAAAAGAACATTTGGACAGTTTTTATATGATTTATCATCCGAAAAGAAAAAAATTATTGGATCACATAAAAAATTGTATAAAAAACTAAATAAAAGCACCTTGTCTGTCATTTTCAATAAAATGTGCATAAGATATATATATATATATATATATATATATATATATATATATATATATATATATATATGAAGAAATATAGTCTTAAGATGTGCTATATTTATGGGATAAAGTGCCCAATATCAGAGATAGAGTGTGTGTAAATATAAAGTGAACATTGAAAGTCAACACTTAGAGGCAACAGGTTGTTTCATGCTAGATGTAATTGTGGTCTGACAATTGCATCTAGCATCAAACAGACTGTTGCCTCTAAGTGTTGATTTCTATGTTCACTTTTATATATATATTTATATATATATATATATAATAAATTAACTGATTTAAAATATGTTTTTTTTGCTACCCAGTAATAATCATGTTTCAAAAATTGAAGCTAAAAGCATAGAAATTAATTTTGTAATTAAATTAAAAACATTAGTTCCATTTCATCCTCAACTGACGCTTAAGGATGAATTGGAAATAATGTTTTTAATTTAATTACAAGATTAAATCCTTTTAGCTTCCATTTTTGAAACATGCTTATTACTGTGTAGTGAAAAAACCATATTTTAAATCAGTTAATTTATAATATTAATGCTCTGTAAATTTACATTGAGCACTGTTTTGTAAAAATAAAAATATCAATAAGAACACTGGATTATATATCTTACTGTTCTTTCTTTTTATATATATATATATATATATATATATATATATATATATATATATATATATATATATGTATAAATACAGACAAAAGAAAAGCTTTATTCATATTGTTCTTGTTCTTTTGCAGATATATTCCATCTGAAATTTTTATATATATACATGGTGCGATGAATAAATTGTCATCTAAGTTATACAAAAATGAAAATAACACTGACATCTCATTTTAACAGATATATTTACCAAAATTAAGTAATTCTAATACATTTACTTCTTTTACAAAGAAATATAGTCTATTAAAACTAACAGTGAAAATATTTTAAAGTTGTATTTAAAATTGTAGTTAAAAAAAACGAATTCTAACCTAAACATCTTTTAAAGTTGTAAATAAAAAAAAACATATTCTAACCTAAAGACCTCCCTCAGGGTACTAGAAGCACTTAAAAGAATCCAATAAAACACCTACAGTAAAATGAAATCAATATGAAAAGCTAGATGATGTAAGCCATTGAATTACCCATGTCCTTTGTACTTACATGAGAAACAAGATATTACTAGGTTTATATAAAATATAAAAGTTTACTAAATCAGTGAAATTAATTAGCTATTTTTGCCGTCATTGTCATAAATTTTACTTAAATAATATTTTTAAAAAAAAGTTACCTAATAATATACATACTTATACTTGATGTGAAAATAATTCTACATAATGTAAGGGATTCTAATACATTTACTTGTTCTTAAAAGAAATATAGTATATTAAAAATTAAAAGTGAAAATATTTTTCAAATCGTAGTTAAATAAAATGTATTTTAACCTAAACACCCCCCAAAAATCTTTAAATATACAAAGAGAAAAAATGCCGTAGGAATTTTTGTCGTTAACAATGAAATTTTAAAACAAATCCAGACGACATGCATTTAACCGTTAAATTTATTTTTCAATGAAATCTGACATCCGTTAAATTTTAACGGATGTCAGATTTCATTGAAAAATACATCCTTACCCACGGCCAAAACGTAGCTAATAACGGATACATCAAAATACAGCAATAATGAACATGCAAACACCCCTTGTCTGGTTGAATGGATTTCTCTGTAACCTTGGAAACGTGAATTATGATTTTTGGTGTGTCTTTAAAACCCAGTAATTTTAAAAGTTACTTCAAAATTCGCTTGAGGATGAAATGGAACTAATGTCTTTAATTTAATTACAAAATTAAATTCAGAGCTTTTAGCTACTATTTTTGAAACATGGTTAGAACTGTGTAGCAAAAAAAAAACATATTTTAAATCAATTAATTTATAATATTAATGCTCTGTAAATTTACATTGAGCACTATTTTGTACAAATAAAAATATCTATAAGAACACCGGATTATATATCTTACTGTTCTTCCTTTTATATATATATATATATATATATATATATATATATATATATATCATTTGCAGACAGTACTTTTTCGCTGTATCACAGCTCCTCAGTGTGACTAGACAACTGAATGCCTCAAGATATATCGTAAAGTTAATAATATATAATAATTCAAGTGGATTCTAGTAATATAAAATATTAAAACTGATCGACAAAAATAGCACAATGTATTTATTATTACAGAGCAAATAATTAATACACAATAAAATCCAAAATCATCTCATAATAATAAGCTTATTTCAACTGATGAAATTCATCAGTCTTATTCAACTCAGGTATAGACTGAGTTGATGTTGGAATTAAACATTTAGGAAATGGATTAAAGTGTTTGTGTGTGTGTATGTATGTGTGTGTATATGTATGTATGTGTGTGTGTGTGTGTGTGTGTGTGTGTGTGTGTGTGTGTGTGGAGGGGAAGTGATTTTCGGTTTTCTCTCCACTGTGTTGATTTAATAATGTCTAAATCAATCGTGTTCTGTGGTCAATATTTTCAAACAGTAAATTTTCAGGCCTCTTGCCTTTACGTTATTTACTACTATTTTTTCTTTGATTATTTCTCTCTTTTTTCGTTGATTGATTGTAGTTTTCTGTTGTCAAACACACGTGAACACACGTATGCACAGACCTGCACACAAGATGAATACACACAAGTACATGAAACGTTTATATCACAAACCCATTTGTCATAAACCTGTCCATTTATTTAAGCTATCAAAATTGAAAAAAAAATATTAAGAGAAAAAGTTTGTTTATTTGATCCGACCATATTTCCTTCCATGTCTGCTACATTCTATTTAGGCAGCAAATCATAAATTCTTCTATATTTGATACGTGTCAAATTGTGACTCAGTTTGTCACATTACCTGTGATGTACCCTGAAGTTATAAGGTGTTTTGGGTTTTCAAAAATCATACAATCATACCAAAGCAACCCAGCCAGGGTTGACTGAGCCATGCTTTGCAGCCAGATAGTGTTAACCCATTCATGGCTTTCCTCTCCTCAACTACTTTGCAACAATTTCTGCTGCCTTGATCACTAACCTTCAATGACTGATCGATCTGATTCCAACATATTGTAGATAGCTGCATATTTCTTAAAAGCAATGATTTCTGCTATCATGGATCCCCACAAAGCATGCAGACATGATGGTATACCAGCATGGTGGCTCTCATCATAACAGGTGCCTATTCATTGTAAATGTAAGCAAATCCAAGAAGGAACAAAGTTCCTGTTTTTTGAGGGAATAAGGAACTGCATAGCCTCTAACAACTTTGGCTCTCACGATTACTGGTGGCTATGTAATAGGCATTAAATAAGTTTAAAGTCTCTATTCCTTTCCTCTTCAATCAATATGAGGTGGCATCTGTTGATAAAACTGAATGCTTTGCCTGTAAATTCTCCTCAAATATTACTCTTAACTTATCTGGAATATCTCTAACTTCTCTCCTAGAACTGAGTCTGTGTTGAGTGATAGCCCCATCCATGGTTTCTATTATCTCTAACCTAGGTCCCCACAAAGCATGTGGACCCAATGGCATCCCTGTAATAGTCCTTAAGAAATGTGCTCCTGAAATGGCTCCTGTTCTTTCTAAACTGTATAATAAATGCCTCTTGATTTCCTACCTGTTGGAAATTTTCATCTGTTGGAAATCTTCATCTGTTGGAAATCTTCATCTGTTGGAAATCTTCATCTGTTGTTCTGGTTT